AACAGCATTTACTGTGAACAGAAATCTTTTGTAAAAAAAAAAAAGTAAATGTTTTTACTGTCAAATTGGATCATTTTAGTAGTATTAGTTTCTTTAAAACTTACTGACCCCAAACATTTAAATAATAGTATATAATTCTGTACAATGAATATAATAGCACCTGGAATAAATATAAATGTATGTATATTTAATAAATATATTTAAATAAATGCTATGTATAATGGGATGTTATGGAGTGTACAAAACAACTCAACACACTATAGTACAATGAGTAAGCTGAATACATACAAGTATGTTGTACAGTAATAGATTGCTGACATTACCCATATCTGACATGAACTTTTGCTGACCTCTCGTGATGCTCAGAGTTGTATCCTCTTTGATTTTGTGTTCAATAAACATTAGCAGACAGCATATCAGCTGCAAGTGAATGTAGGAGTACACTAACATTGACTAAAAGCAAAAAAAAAAAAAGTTTAAATGGCTTAGAAATATTACATAGTCTACTACTAATAATAAGAAGCATAAAGTCTGTGTAAAGCAATATTAAATATGTGTTCTGAGTTTGTCACACCACAGAAAAATGCGTTATTAACCACCCAGCAAAATTTGAATGATAAAAAACTGCCAAGTAAATAAAATAAGTTATCAAAATCTTTAAAAAAAAAATGCAGTATTCTCTGCTGTGGGGGCGTGTCCGCTGTCGGCGCTGAAACCACACCCACTCGCAGCAAAGCACTGGCACTCTGTCACACTTGTGGTTGGAAGGGACTGCTTTGTGAACAGATAATAATTGAAATTACTTGTCTAATGAGTCAAACATACTGATGCATATAAACAGAAGAATCACGTTAGAGGGTTGCAAAATTTAGTTGAGTTACTGAGGCCTACCTACTATAAGCACACAAGGCAATTTACGCTCATTGGTGGGCACGTACTGCTGATGATAGCGCCAGATGTCGGTGGGACGGGAGGATGAAGGCCGGGGTGGGAGATAGTTTTTCCGGCCCCACTGATGCTAATGCGCTCTAGTTATTATAATGTTAGGGGAGGGGCCATGCTCAGTGGCTCCAGTGTGTCATCAAGACATGATTTCAGCCCCGCCCAAAAAATCCTGAACACACAAATAGTGAAAAACTCTTTAAAGGGATAGTTCACCCAAAAATGGAAATTTTATGTTTGTCTGCGTACCCCCAGGGCATCCAAGATGTAGGTGACTTTGTTTCTTCAGTAGAACACAAATGATGATTTTTAACTTTAACCGTTGCAGTCTATCAGTCATATAATGCATGGCAATAGTAACAAAATCTATGAGAGTAAAAAAAACATGCACAGACAAATCCAAATTAAACCCTGCGGCTCGTGACGACACATTGATGTCCTAAGACACGAAACGATCGGTTTGTGTGAGAAACCGAACAGTATTTATATCATTTTTTACCTCTAATACACCACTATGTCCAACTGCCTTGAGCGCGTGCACGGCATCCGGTGCGTGAGGTGTGTACGCGCACTGGTGTAGTTTACGCACATGCCGGAAGTGATCTCTCGCGCGTATACCTCACTCATTGTTTACACGGTGCACAGTCATTGCGGTGTTCCCTGCCACTGTGAAGATCTAAAGATATTTAGACGTACAGGTCATCACAATGGAAGACGATTTTGATATATCAACAGACCACGTGGATTTTTTTGCCCAACCGTATTTATTTGAACCAGAATACTCAGATCAAGAACTCAGAGAGATGGAGGAAGCATCTGCTGCAGCAGCACGTCTTCAAGCCTCAGAGAGACAGAGATCTCTTCAAAAGTGGTGGTGTTCTTGTAGTAAGTGTTGTGAGATGCCAACAGAAGTGGAGAGCATCTGTTGTCACGAATGGAACATAGCAATGCCACAACTACAAGACGCCGACGAGGACATTGCCGAGGGTGACCCATCACACACCTGCCTGACTGAAGATCCAGACTTTTCTCTGCTGTTGAGCCGCAGCGTTTTGCACGTTGTGTTTAGCTTGCCATCCTACATCTTGGATGCCCTGGGGGTAAGCAGATAAACATCACATTTTCATTTTGGGGTGAACTATCCCTTTAACGGTCTAACTCTACAATTCAGTACTACATAGTTCTAAGTCTTTGTAACGTGCTTTCAGCAATACATTTATAACAGTTCTCTGAATTGCCTTTACACTGACTTTAAGTAGCAGATAAGTAGGTTGGTTTTACAACATTGCAGTTTTTATTGTATTTTTGATCAAATAAATGCAGCCTTGGTGAGCATAAGAGACTTCTTTTTTAATATCATTAAAAATCTTACCAGCCCCAAATGTTTGAACAGTCACAATGACTGACATGAAAACGGTTTCTGAATATCTATTTTTATTGGTGCACACATGAGATGGTCCCTGCTCATTCACAAAGGCTGACTCACCATCCCAGAAGAGTGTGTAGTGATTGGGTTATATAATCTGTGTGGCATATTAACAGCTCCATCATTACACACATTTGTCACAACTAAGAAGGTTTTTTTTTTAAAATTCAATTTATTATTCAGCTTTATGGTGAATTATATCAGTTATTGCTGTAAAACAAATCTGGCTTAGATTAATAGATAAGGTTGAGAGTATTAGATATGTCAAAAACTATGTTTTTCACAATTTTGGCCTGTAGCAACAAAACATATTCTTTAATCTACCCGTCACTGATCCGTGAGGAGGGATGTGAGGGTGTTTTGACTGTAATGTGTTCAGCTGTTCATAGTAGTCATGTTCAGAAAGAGGCTTTCTGACACTGACTGCAGAGCTAATAATATATAATGAGAAGAGAGAGGAGGGGTGAGGGGGCGGGTTACACTGAGCTGGTAACAAGGGTATAAAAGAGCCAGGGCGAAAAGACAACAAAGTATGCAACGCACCAACTTGTTCAGAGACCAGACTGCAAACATACAGAATGTCTCGGGTATGAAAATATATCGATTCAATGCGCAGATTAGAAATAAAAAAGTATGTGTAATGATTTAAGTGCTAACTACTGTAGGCATTTCTCTTTTGAAATGATATTTCCATCAGCCAGAGGTTAAGAAGAAGAAGAGGCAAGTTGTGAAGGAGGAGGACCTGAAAGGAGCCCGCAGTAAACTGGGGCTAAAGGGAGAGGTCAAGAGCAAAACATACGAGGTCATGGTTGAGTGTGGTAAGTTTGCCATGTTTGGAACGTAAATCAGAGACAGATTAGCTATTGTAGTTTAGATTAGAACAGAGACTGTCTTTTAAAAAAATAATGTATAAAAGATCTTTTTTATATTTTACAAATTTTCCATGTCAAGATTTCAGAAAGTTGCTATGGTATATTGTTGTAAAATTGCATTGTATTATTGTAGAATATAATAATAATAATAATAATAACGTAGTTTTTGTATACTATATAATTGTATTGTATGTAATGAATTATCTAGGTTTCTGTAGTTTTTTTTGTTGTAAATTTAAAACTTTTAAAGACCTTTTTAAGACCAAGTAAAGAAAATGTAAGCAATAAAAGGGAATATAATACATCAATATGTTCTGTAAATGTAACTAAGGAGCAGATAATATTAGCTGATAATGAATAGTTTTAGCAAAACTTGAAAGTTTCCAAACAGATCTCCATAAATAAAATAGAATACTGAAATAACTTTTACTGTACCTTCTGATTACCCTGCAAGAAGTGATGTTTCTTCTCAGGATCTTTCCAGTGCAAAATGTCTAAAGATTCTCAAGGCAAAGATACACTGAAAAGCAAAATAACACAAGAAACTGTTTTCTGAGAAACTGATCAAAATGTGTTTGTGATTCAAACAAGAGCAAATATATGCCATTTGGTTCAGAAAAATACAGTTAATTCAAAGTTTTCATACCCCACTAACAGATATTTGTGCTTGATTTAGGTATAACTTTTAAGGCCCTAATTTGTGGAGGGGTGAATTAAGACTTTTTGAGTCGTGCAGAAACCCTGAAATCAATCTGTTGT